CGAAGAATGAACGAGATTGACAAACACACCCAAAAGTCAAACTACAACTCCTCGATTTCATGAGAATGAGCACGTGCTTGTTCGTACGTGATTCATACCTCATCATCATATTCAGTGTAGATGATGAGATTTTGAAAAATGTAGTCGGTTTATTCGGCTCCTGACGATAGACGGGTCAAATGAAGCTCAAATGATGACCTCAAACGATGCGCAGTAAAAATGAAAAGCACAACCAAGAAATAATTCTCGAAAATTGAAAATGAAAACTATGACGTCAAAATTCTGATGTTGCTAATAGAGACCCATTCGTGCACATTGGACTCAATAGGGGTAGACCTTCTGGAGAAGCTAACTACTCAAACTAAAGCTTTTTTGTAGTATGTTTCACGATTATCGTTTCCTCAAAGCGAACGGGAATGGCGGACATTCGAAACTTGGTAATCCCTTTTCCTTCAAAAAAATTTCATTTCTTTTCGAAAACAATGAATGCCAAAAATTCTTCGGAGTACGATAATCACTTTCTTCCCTTTTCTTTGTTAATAAAGAACAAATTCGGAAGCAATAAGTTTGGAATTGCGTTTTGCTTACAAAAGAATCGAAAATGAATAAAAGCATAGGATGATTTCTGAACTTTTTACTGTTCCAGTTTCAGGAATAAACGTTATGATCATGCAGTCATCATAAAAATCAACCACAAGAAAAAGCAATGAGTCATTTTGATATTTCTCCACAAATCTTTTCAGCTCTCGTCATATGCTACCCTGATAATGGAGCGTGTCTGTTTGCTTAAAAGTGGCGATAGAGGGAATTCAATCACAAGGTCGCTCACAACGACACATAACTCTTTCCTTTCTAATTGAAATCTTTTTGTTATTAAGATGTCGTACCCATATGGAGGATATCCTAATCAAATGGTACCAATGCCAAACCAATCGATGTATCCTGTACCTTCTGTATACCCACAGGTAGATTTCTGAAAAACATAAAATAGATGTGACAAAATCCAATTTAGCCTCAAACAACAATCATTCAAGCTCCTCCACCAGTTTTCCCAATGGTACGACCAACTGTCATAATCGAAGAAAACTGCTATCCACACTACTACCATCATGGATATCATGATTACGGTGAGCTTTTGAAATTTAAACTGATTTTCAAACTTTGGACTGCTGAATTACTTTTTATCAAAATCATGATTAAATCACTATCTTTTAAATTCAATCAATACTCCACTACATTTCAGGGTATTATCATCATCATCATCATGGATATCATCATCATCACCACTGCGACTGAAGCGCATTCTTTATTTATTTTGAATCCTCGAACTGCTTTTTATAGGATTTTGTTCAAAAACCTTGTATGAGCTTACTCAATAAATGATATCATGATTCATATATTTCTTTTCATCCATTGCGTCAAACATTCAAGAGAAAAGTTGTAACTCAAATGTAATCCAAATTATGATGTTTGCTGCTGCAGTCTACCATCTGACTCAAAAGGTTTTTGACAGGTTATTTCACAAAGCTTGGCGATTTTAAACATACGAAAATTGCATGACCATGGCTCTTAAATTCAAAGTTCAAAAAGAAATCACTGACAAGCCTACATGCGAGTAAGCAAAGATGATGTGATTGAAAATAAACAAATGAATGCAATTAAACAATCTTTTCCAAAAAGAAACAGAAGTCAAAAAAATTTATTCTTTGTTCGTATCATACAGGAATAATTACTATGATATAAATATATTACAGAGAAAAACTTTTCAAGTTCAGGCATTCAGTACAGTTTCGATCATATGAATGACTCTTTCAGTTGTGAGCTGCGACAGCCGGCAATTGATTTCCATCATTTCGTTCTGCAAGTTAACAATTCTCTCAGTTAACTTTCCATTGGCCTACAACAGAATTCTGATGAAATGTAATGAATAGAAACTTACATTGCGAATCATTAGTGCTTTTGTCTTAAAACTTTTGAATTTCTCTTCATATGATTCAGCGCGCTCTTCGTCTTCTTTTTTTTTACGTTCTTCCACCTCTCTCTGTACAAGGAAAATTTGTAAGAGTTCGAAATATTGCAGATAAAGAACTTTTTCCTTTCTTTTCTCAGCAATGATTGCTAAGGTTCTGAGCTTTTGCTGTGCATCGTCCAGGCTTGGTTGCTCATTCCTTAACTAGGCATTGAGTTAACTGGATGCTATTACAAACCGAGATAATGTACAAGGATCTATAGTTCGCCTTCGGTTGAGTGTTACCGTTTTCCTTAATGTCATACTGAGAATAAAATTGATATATTTTGACTAACTTTGGAGTTATCTCTTCATTCTTCGGTTTATCGTCCTAAAACGTTTGAGTAATGATAACACTGAGAAAAACAAGCATATGCCTTCAGATGTTGATGTGCATTTAGTCCAGATCCAGAGAATCGTCTAATCCGCGTATTCGATTCCACAGTAGTCACAGGCGTAGAACTCTTCTTTACGATCTCAGCGTTTGGCCTGGCAAGTCTTAGAAAAATGATTCAAATTTACAAACCAACCGGGATAACACAGAAGGATCTATCGAACGACGTCTACTCAGCAGGGACCTTTTTCTAAAGGGAACATATTTAATAGAAACTCATATATGATACTTTTGTTGTTCTTCGGTACTCTCCTTCTTCTTTTCCTTAAAAGCCTATTTAGTCACGAATATTGCAATCAACATACTATGGCTTTACTAAGTGGCGGCGCAGCTATTAAAGATCCTGAAAGCCTTCTGGAACGCGCATTTGTCTCTACGAGATTTTGTGTCGTTGGAGTAATATCCTTCAGAACGCTGACGAATCTACGGGGTCTCGTCCTCGGATAGTTTGTACTAACACCTTGCGACTCCATTTATAAAACCTAAAATGTTGAGCAATACGCTTTGATGAAAGAGGTAATATAATAAAGTTTTTTGGTTGTATTTGTATTTGATATCATATTTGTCTCTTTTTCTTACGTACGCATTTTTCTTCTCTCATAGTTTGAAAGATGAATTATGTATCTTTCTAAGACAATGAGAAGTACCGTACCTACTGTACTGTATACTTACATAGTTTTGTACATGAAAAACATAAAAAAAAAGTTTACAGTATCAACTCATTCCACAAACTTACCAAGATAACGATAAATGAGTTTTTGAAGATAAGGGTATTATAGATGAACAGTCGCATATCAATTTAGAAAAGATGAATGACAGTTTCTCATTTTTGTTCATTCATACTAGAATTATTTCAATTAGCGGTTGTGCAATAGTAACGCAAGTCTACTGATGCAAATTAGGTTTCTTCGACAAGCTTCGTCTTATATGATGATGAAGTTGTGAACAAAAATATTTATTTACTTTTCTTGTATATTTTTACAAAATGAAGAGTATTTAGTGATGATGATGGTGATGGTGATGATGCTCATGGTGTTCTGAAACAATTACAAACTACAACAGGGAGATATGTGTGATCAAACCAGAGTGATGACTCTCATATGGGTCATATTCAGGTGCGTGGTGATGATGGTGTGGCTCCTCGTGGAATGTTGGATGATGCGGTGGATGTCCTCCTATATGTCCACCAACGTGTGGTTCATAAGCAGAATGATTGGGAGTGTTGTGATATGGATCCTGCAAAGCTCTTGTTATTCACCAAACGAATAAAAGTGTAACGAACATATCCTCCCTGTGGTGGATGGCCTCCATTGCCGTATGGGTTGTTGTATGGATTGTAACCAGACATAAGCTGTGGAAGAAAGTTTTAGTTTTAGATTCGACTTCTAAGAAAATGGAAGAAAGTAAAAATGACGGCAAAGCGTATAGAAAGAAAGTGAAATAAATGTGTTGATAAGAGGAATCATAAGGTTTTTATTTATAGGAAAGCTTAAAGAAGTGATTCGTAGGCAGAACAACGCCTGAAAGCTCTGTTCTTCATTTAAACGAGCAAATAGCTCTTGGCCATAGGGTCCCGGAAGTTTACTTCATACAGTAAACTTCTGGGAGAGAAAGCAATAAAGCAAGGGTAAAGAACGGCTCAAATAATAGCCAATGCCAGAAATATTTTAAAACTCTCCTTATAAACGAATCATGGGGAGTGATATAGAATCGGTTTTATCTCGAAAAGTATTATCATTGCCTATTTAAAAACGAAATGTGAAATTTTGAAGGCGAAATGACAAATCAGAGGGTGGGAAGAGCAAATGGGGCATTCAGATAGATAAGCTCAAACAGAGAAAAGGTCTGATGACTAACAGACGAATTTTTTTTTATCAAACATTGAGAGAAAAGCTTCGATCGAGAACTTACGCGCATTCAGCTTTTTCGATACATTCTAAGTTTTCTTGTGCGTCTCGAATATAACAGTGAAAATAAGAAAGAATCCAATCAGATTATGTAGAGTAATCAGATATCTGAGTTTTTGCCTATAACATGAAGTCGATTCTTCAGGTAAAGTAAACACATTTTTATTTATCATCATTTAATCTTTGAAACTGTTAAGTCAGTCGGGCCAGATCCAAATAGTGATTTATTTAACTTAGGAAGAAATCTTGACTCAAATAAAATGAAATCTATATTCAATAACCATCCGAGTCTGATAGACTGTCGATCTCAGTCGATCGGCTAGACTGGTTGGCTTCAGATTCACTTTTTTTTTTAATTTTTCGGTCGTGCTCCTCACGGCTGTCAATTTCTTTCTCGACTTCTTTGATATCCTAAAATGGGACTATGTATAAGCAAACCACAATATTCAAACTTTAATTCTCTCATCTGAATCAATGTCTATCTCGGACGGACGAACTCGGATTCCTCCGCATGTTACACAATAGCAGCATATCAGCATAAGCAAACCGCAGACCTTATTGACAAAGTAATAGATCTTATCTAAATCTAAACACTCACTTCAACCACAGAAATCACAGATAATCCCAACCAGAGACCTGCTTGACCACCCAAGTCATTCACAATATCACTTAACTGAAATGATATTAATCATAACGCCAAATCAGCTTTTCTTACTCCGTAACTTGGTTTCTCTGTGTACTTTTCATATTTCAAAGTCTCAAAATATACTTGTAATAGGAGAGAATTGGTCCTGTACCATTCCCAGCAATCGTTTCGTTTCTAAAAACACGATACGATATAATAATTTTCTAGTAATCAAACGTTATTATAAGGCGAAGTTTGATCATCGCAACTTGGAGCCTGCAAGAGATAGTATTGAAAAAGACTAATAAGGCTTTTGTTTCTTACAGCGCCGTTGACCGAGTCCGTGGCTACGTAGTATTTAGCAGAGGGATACCGAGCAAGGGAAGCTGTAGTGAAAAAATTCGTCTCTCCACATGGGGGGTCACAACCACATTGCTTGAATTTTTTATGTTTTCCATAATAAAACCGTGATTACCATTAAAGGGTCCAAATTAGGATTAGCTGTGTTTGATTGATCTCCTTTAAGGTTTTGTAAGCAGCTCACTACAATTCAAAGAAATCACGTGAAAGAAAGTCAAGATATCACACATTTGGAAATATCACACCAATTATCAGTGGACGGAGCTGGAAATCGGGGATTATAACAATCACATTGTTTCAGAGTGTCTCGTTGACGACAACCATTAAAACAAGTTTCCAAGGTGTAAGTGTAATCCTCAAAAAATTGGAAGTTTCTCCATGTATGCTAACTCACTTTGAAAAGATCACTTCCCTCCGATTCACGAGTTACACAGCGTCCATAAGGTCGTTTGCAGCGTTCAGTTTCAGTCTGAAGCAAGATGACAGTGTAGAAACGCAAGTTTGTGTGGTATACTTTTACAACAGAAACAGCAGTTTGATAGCCGACACCAATGTTCATCCCATGGCTTTCAAGTGACGGGTGTGTTCCCCGAGCATGAATACTTATTCGAGCTCCAGCTAATTGCGTTGTCGGAAGAAAGTCAGCGTTACCATTATGCAGTTTTTGCTGAAAATTTATCATGGTTGGCAATTACAAAAGACAATACCTTTACTGTCAAGAGAAGCTTCAGCCCAAAGCTCATACCTGCTCTTTGAACAGTATAAGAAGAATTACTATTTTCGTTGAAAGAATAACATGCTCCATAAACTGGATCAATGAATCTTTTAAAATCATCTCTGATCATAGCAAAACTGAACTCGGTTACTGAAGGAATCATACCGACTACAACTTTTTCCAGCAAATGAACATTCAGATATGAGATCATCGAATGTATATAGGGCTGGTTCTTTGTCATCATCTGTGAGTTCGGCAGAGAGAAGAACTAAAGCATCCCTGGCTCTTGAATCTCTAACAAACTGATCGTTTTGAACAGCCTTTATCGTGAAAATTAGGAAATAAAGTGAAACTGTCAAACCCTCAGACCATACTGATCATCAGTAGTCAGAGTATTGGCTACAGCTCTGTTATATGCTGACATCAAATCTTTGATTCTTGAAAATTTAGAATTTGAGTTGACTTCCGCAAACTTATAAGGATTAAAGTTGCAAACAGTCACGACAGGAAAGTTCTATGGAAACATTGATAAAATAAATTAATTGGCTATGATGCACCTGCTCTTGGAAGAAGATGTCTGTCGTAACCATTACCGGGAATTTGAAAAATTTGACGATCATAGTGAACAGTTGATATCCGAAAACTGCAACCAAGCAAATGAAAATGAATGACCAAAAAAAGCGTGAAAGCTGAAAAATAAGAAAATGGAAGAATTTAGTAGTCTATAACTACTTTCGTCTGCGCATTTGCTATGTGTGGCACACCACACACTGTTGACCAATTGGCGAAATCACAAAAAATTTGTAGAAAGCCACGCATATCTTAATTTGTTTCAGTTCAATATGAGTAGAAAAAAAATTAAGAATACCTTAATTCCGGAAAACGTTCAGCCAAACAAGGAAAAAAACTGAAAATGATGTGTGATTTTGGACATATGGGCCCAACAACGGCTTTGCTGGTCATGGCAACTTTTGTTTTCTGTAAATAAGGAAAAAGCTCTTTTTTTTTGTTTCTTCTCAAAATTTTCAAACTAGGAGTTTCATATGAGTGGGAGAATAGTTGAAGACACTATATCAAACTGAACTTGAGAATATATATATTACGTACATGGGGCTCATTACGTATATTACCATGTAATAAGGAGTATTTATGGTTGATAGGTGGAAAATATAAAATTATCTCCACAAAGTATTTATTAAGCTTGGAATGACTGAATTCAAACAGAAAAAACAAAGTAGTTGGCAGCAAAAAGTTTTTCATTTCATGAAAATTTCTGACGTCTGCGAAACTGATAATTAGGAGCGAAAATGATTATCCGTTTTCTCGTGATTTTTAAACATTCTAAGATACTTGCTCAAGTAGACCAATACAGATTCATGTCGACGGATCTTTAGCTCACTGATTCGATGTACATATCCATTTGGCATTCGGTCTTGCGTGTATCGTTTCAATTCGTTCAATGAAGGCAAGCTGAACGGTTGTGGAATGTCCGTTCGAATTGTCAATCTTTGCTATGGAAATGAAAAAAGTTTCTCATTTTTAACACTTTTCATGAAAATTTTCGTGTTTTTTTTCGACTTCCGAACATTCAATTAGACTGTCATACATGGTGTTCGCCCGCGTTTGTCTATTGAGAGCCATCAATTGGCTAAGACTAATTGACGAATGACCATCTATTTCTTCATTCAAGAATGTAAAAAGGAAAAGAAAAAGCATATCATATTCATTTCACATAAAGAACTGTGTGTGCGTATCTGTTAACAATTTGGTTAACTTTTATCATTATAAATGAATATCATAATTATACCGTTATTTTCGCATGACTAGCCAATTACCAACCGAAAATTTCTTTCACTACGTCTGCCATCTATTTATGGCCAGAAATTTGCAGTTGAAAAACAAAATCCTCTCATTTCATTTCAACATTCAAAATGTTAACCTGTATAAGTACTTTGTTATATCAAATAGTTAATTTATTCCACTTGAATCGCATCAAATCTATAGTTGGATTATGTGTGAATGTAAGCTCATTCTTGTTCTTCGAACAGAAGCTACTCGGTCAAGCTTTCTGTCGTCTTTTCACTCATTCCCTTTTCTCTCCAACACAAAATCCCTACTCGTTTGCAAAGAGAAACTTTTACCGGAAATAACAATTTCTAGAGAATTTGTAGATAAACACGAGAAAGCTTCAAGTTCCCCTTATTTGGCATGATCTTTAACTGTCACGAAAAAGATTTCTTGTCATCTTTCATTCAATATTAACGTGTCTTACTCTGATTCCTATTTTCAGTTATGTTGGACTTCGCTTTCTTCTATTATTTGGTAATTACTACTCTCTCTTCCCTTCTAAACTCATTTATAATTATCGCTAGCGTCAGCAAGTCTATCAGGTAGAACACCATTCACATATAGTTTGAAATTTTCACAAGTAAAGCTATTGATAGAGGCGAGTTCAAATGGATTTTCTTCGCTAGTTCAATTACAAACATCTTGCTATCTCTCACACAGTGCATCTTGATGCCAACAGTAGTCAAATGGCCATCGAGCAACGAATTCAACTTGATTCTAACATCAAATCCTCTCGTTGCTCTGTTTTCTGACAATACAGAAGAATCACGTGCAAGTAAGACACTCTCTGATCTCAATTCGAAAATTTCACAAAATAATAAATATTTCTTTAATCATTATAGAAAGACCAATGAGTGTGCCCTCTTAATCTGACTTTCTTTTCATCTCATCGCGCCTTTTTTTTCAAATTTAAGAGTGATCACGTGAAATTCACGTGAGGGTTCAAGCTATAAAGATCAATCACAGAGCTGCAAGCAATACTTCGTTCAGAAGAAGAAAATGTCAAAACAATTCTTTTGAGAACGAAAAAGAAATTTGAAAATAATAAATTCGATGACGTAGAGAAATTCGTTGGAGAATGTTCATCTCTACCTGCTTTCTACTTCATTTTGTTATGTTTTCTTTTCAGAAAAGAGTTCATTCTGTTCGATTCTTTACCATGTTTTTTATTTTCGTCAAATCGAAGCGAGCGTTCTGTCAATCTGCCTGGTTCCTCTAAATCGAGCTTTTGCCGTATGTTGGAAGCATGCTGCTCCCAGCAATGCTAAAACTTGGATACCTATATGTAAGCTTCAGATCAAAACCGTTCAAGTAATAGTTAGAATGTTAAGCTATGATACCAAACATCGTACCTTTCATAGTATATTTTCTCACACGACCATTGACATCTACAAATCTTAAAGATCTTAATGCGTTTTCAGAAGAAGCTCTAATAAGGTTTATTCTTGAGAAGAAGCTCAAAAGGCTTACAACTGTCCTACTTCAGATTGTATGAAAAAACGGAACCAACTCAATTTTGTTCCCTGGTAAGCAATTATAGGAAGCTTGGAGATGTAGCTGAAACAGTTTTTCTGATTCTCTGTCCGATTCTATCCTATCCCATTGCCATTGTAAGCCGGAAATCGTCTGGGTCCTTTTCTGATACTCACCTTTTTCAGTACTGTGTGATCAAACTCTTCATTTTTCTCCGAACAAGGAAAGGAAACGTCAGAAACAATGTTTCTTCCCAAGTTATTCAACGGCAAAAAGGAATTCTGATGACCATTATAATTCAGGTAGAAACTGCTTTTTAGACCTTTTCAAAGCTCAGAACTAGGCCATAGCTCCGTTGATCATATATTTACCTCTTTTTCTCTCTGTGCTTATTGTTGATAACTCTTGGGGCATTCAGCAACATAGTGAAATGGATTGGTGAGTTCCAGAAGAAAAAACAGTTTGCAATAGTATGATTGAGGTATGGGATGAGTGCGATTCATTTCACCATTAGTTGGAGTCCTTGCATTGATGCTTTAGCCACAATTATATTTATAAAGCCATACCGAAGAGCTTTCATTGACTACTTCAGCCCGACTACGACGGTTGTTGCAGGGATGATACACGTGGAGCATCCTCAAAATCGCCGAGTTAGCGACGTTGCATTAAGTGTAAGAGAAATGATGATTCTTAGCTTCTAGTACTGTTATAGAGTTGTCACAAATCAGTAATTCCGCCAAATTCCAAACTAAACGCAAGTGTCATTTTCGATGGTCCGGATGCAATGGAACCATCCGACAGTCAGTTAAAAGAAACAACTCTCTAGAAACATTCCCTTCTTCAATTCTATAGAAGTGTTGCCCGAAACCTCATTTGCTCATTGATAACTGCGTGAAACTTATAGTTGAACGCTCATTTCTCACGATCAATAAAAGAATTTTCAAAGAATGGGCGACTCCAATTTAAGAACAAAACGTTGTGTTGCAGATACAAACGTATCTAATAAGTATGAAGTTTATGTAGCTTATTTCAGTTGCACAGAAATAAAAGGCTTCCGGTATATAAATGAGTTAGAGGGCCGCAACTCTGTCAATGATTACCATAGAAACGACGTATGGAATGTAAACTGAAATACGAAAGACTTCGGATTATGAAAAGCGTGAGAGCGAGAGTGAGATGGAGAAAAAGAGAGAAACAAGGAGAGAGGATAGACATGATTCCTAGCTGTCTTATAGGATGATAGCACGAAGCCTTCATCAATGTATATTTATGATTCTATACTAAATAATAACTAACCCTTAATTGATATCAAGCATTTTCCAGAGACAGCTTAATGAGTTTCCATAGCATTCAAGTATTGTCTTGAATTTGAAAATAAAATTTAAAATGTCTTCGCTAACCTCTTGTCCTTTCTGTGAACGATTGTATACGCACCATTCATTAAACATTCATCGTCCCAAATGTCGCAGCAACCCTTCAGGTATTCGCTTTATTCCATAAGAAATTCATTCTCGCCTCGCTGATTTATCAGTTTATACCTATTCAAAAATTATAAGCTTCTCTGTAACAACATATTACTTACCTTTCGCAGTTAACTCTATGCCAAGAAGTTCTTCAGTCAAAGTTTCGAAAAAGAAAAGTGTAAAAGATAGACCAAGGACAAGATCCATTTGCCGCCATGAGAAAGGTTACTATAAACTACAAGAGCATTCTGCTTTAACTTAATTTTTAGTCGAGTTCCGAGTATGTCTAGTTTGTGCTGATAAAGTCGAATTACATGCGATAAGTGCTCATGAACAGCTTTGCTTAGAAAGTGAGTTTGATTGATAAATTAGCATACAGCTCATATGAACTGATCCGATACAAATTCGTTTTCATTCTCATTTGATGCGCTCATCGGTTAGCTATTTCTCATTAGACATCATTATTACTAAATTAGAATAATATCTTTTCATTAATAGCTTGTTCCCATTATTTTTTTCCCCATAGAGTGGAACAAAATTTGCAAGAAAATCTCCAAACGTTTTGAAGTTCGCAAGCCTGTGCCGCTGCTAGTGCCTTCTCTGGACGGTTCTTTGGATATTCAAAGATTAAATGAACATGCTATTCAACAAAGCCGTAAGTCTCAGGTTAGATAATACCTAATGTGAACAAAGACTTGAATAATTTTACCTTTTCCTTTCAGTTCGCTCGTTGTAGAAGATGCCAACTGAATGTATCCATAGTGGCAGCCATTGATCATAAATGTACGCGATTTGAGCCAGCAGTTGAATTTTTCTTCTGACATCTCCCACACCTTATCGTGCTGCATAGCTTTTGTCACTTTAATTTCGATTGGAAAGGATTCAAAACCTTTAGAGAAAAATGCTTAAATACATTCTCAGGATTTATTGTAATCATTCACTCTTTATTATGAGTGCTTATAATATAAAAAATTATTTTATTACTTATGAGGCTCATTTGGAATACCTCGAACATTTCAAATCATCTTCGCTCTCAGTTGAGTACTCCTACAACGAACAGGTATCTGTAAGCAGGAAAAAGTTACTCGATTAACATATGAGTTGAAAACCTTGTCAACATGTATATATTCATACATAGAATTCTTTGCTCATGGTTATATCAGGACGGTTCAATGAAGCTGTTGACAGCTCATATGATGTTGACCTACATCGGAAATAGAAACACAGTGTTACTAGAAGAGCCATAAATCCCAGACACATGATAGCTATCATCCATTGCAACCAATCCATGGCAAGAATAAACATGCTGGATCTTAATTTTTCTTATTCAAGAAAACTGTTGTTGGTAAAGAAGAGGGAGAATCAACTAAACTCAAGAACTTCCGGAATATTATGGATTTAACATGAAAACCTTGTTTTCGAGAAAAAAAAAACAGATTGACCACTACTTTGTTTTTTAATAAAAAGCTTCGCTTGTCTATCTTGAAAAATGTTCGTTCAAATGTATACTAAAAAGGAACTTACAGCCTCGCTTGGATTTTGAGCTGCTACGACCTGCAGAAGTCCTTCGCTAACGTATCACACGTTCTACATGACAAGTTACACACTCATTTCTCATTTGCATAACATAGTAGATCGGTTAGCATAACTCCCGGAAAGGAAATGTTATGAGATTTTAGCTGAAGCTTCTCTATGTGACAAATATAAGTGCGTTTGAGACTAATGAAGATGCCTATGAGCTTTTGAAGAACACCACCCGAAAATGAGAATGAGGAAAAACAGATACCACCACTTTCTCTATTCTGCTTCCTGTCCGGTGTAAGATGAATAGAACGAAAAAAAATACAAGAATCGTTCAAAAAATGGTCATTTTCTCTAGATATCTATCAACATTTCAAAAATGATAACTGAGTGGAGAAGAGTAAGAAGAACCTCGGTTGAATTCTAAGTTAGGAAACGATAGGAAGCAAATTCAATGAATCTTAAGCTGTAGAGCTAACGGATTCATCTTATGTCAGATCAATTCTCAGTCTCATTTAGTTTTATTTCAAAATACAAGACCGGAACTGACCCGACAAAACTATTGTTAAGCTTTCTGAAAACGAGATGACCAGTGAGTGTAATTGATCATCAAAAATATAGTGAACTCAACTCAAGAGAGATCGGAAAGATCATGAAAAATATTAGCAAACAAGGAAGAGTTACTGAGACGCTGAAGCGACAGCACGTGAGAACTTGAAGATTGAACTTTGCTCAATATTTGCCAACCAAAAAGTTCAGATGGAATAAACAAAGGTCAATAGCTTCAGGCGTTGACAATTCATAAAGCGGAGATGATGCATCGCTTCCTTCATGATATAATATTCGAATAAGAGAAGAAGTTCAAAATCCAAAATCTTCAGTGGAAAAGTACTTTTTATACTTTCACTCAACGAGTGAAAACTGCTCAATTTGACAAATTCAAAAAACAACGCAGTTCATCAAGCTTGACTCATATGTTCTTCTCTCTCAACCAAAGCGAACGTGTTTTTATTTCGCTCTACTCTGAGCAAAAACATATTAAGCTCGAGCGGAAACTTTGTCAGAACGAACTCGCCGAACTTTCAGCAGCCACCAGGGATTTCGCATTGACGACATTGAGTTTTCCAGAATGGTAGCCATCAGAACTTGCAAACTATCGACTTCAACTCATTAACAGAGCGCTGGGCTATTATAACGAGAGTTAACACATTTTTCTGAACTATCCAAACGAATAGATGTTTTTCAGTCGTGTTCCCGACGTCAAATACGAATGCTATGTAAATGACAAATAGAAATTTCTGACTAGCCTCTCTTATCGGAAACACAGAAATGTGAAAAAAAAACTCAGCTACACCGAATTCGTGAAAACTCCACGGAATTAGGATGAGTTTGGAGCCATCCGAAAGAGTTTTTCCATACACATATGATCCAATTATGTTTCGAAGAACTCATTCCATAGTTGTCATTAACTAGTGCGCCGTTTTTCCTAAGAATTGCATAATAATAACAATTCTCTTTGCTCAACATTTCGTTCCTTCCAAAATAGAAATGATCTTCATACTCGGTTTATCTCATATAAACTCGAGAATCGGATTTGAAATAATAGATAAGATGCCTAATTGAATCAAAAAATATATATAAATTATGAAAAATAAAAGAACACACCTTTAAACAAAGATTCATCTATGAAGAGCTATGAGGTCTATCAAGACACACGTAATGATAATAAATAAATTTTCGGAAATATACAACGTACTCGCTTTAAGTTACCGATCAAAGAGTAATGAGCACACATGAAAATTTGAAATAAGATCGAAGATACTCATACAATTTCAGCGAGCAAGAAAAACTAGAAAGAAGTCTACTGCAAGACTTCCAAATTTGAAAATTAGAACCAATAACTGTTCATACCATTACTATATTGATTGTGGATGGAAAATTTGCCTACGATCTAATTGTAAAACTTCTTTCCATTTTTGGCGTAGTCTCTGAGCAGTTGACAAGGCTCGAACTAAATAAATATATATTTAGAAAATATGGATAAAAATTTGAATCACAAAAAAATTCAAAAATTTCATCAACCGTTATGGCTATTAGAAACATTTCAAGAAGCTTACTTGTTCGCGAGCGTAGGAGGAAGCAAATTTATCCATAGAGTTAACAAGCTTGTCAGCTCCATATAAGTCGAGGAAACGGAAAGGACCTCCCCAGAAGGGTGGGAAACCGATTCCGAAGACAGATGCAATATCGCCGTCAGACTGAAGGAAGAAAACGATGTTCAAATAGAAAAAATATTCAAACTCACGGGAGAAGCAATAACTTCTTCCTGAAGGCAGAGAACAGCTTCATTAATGAACCGAGAAACCAAACGGAGTTGGCGATCTTCGGTTGAAGAGCTACAACGACATACCAAACAGAGATTCATAAAAATAATTTACCATTGAGCTGGAGGGCTGAGACGATACTTTTGAAGGAGCTTGGCGGCTTCTTCATGAGCGCGCTTTCCTCCCTTCTTCCCTTCACCATAAAGGTAAATACCTACGATGATGCGTCTTATCAGATCAAATCTAAAAACGAACCTTTTCCATTTTTTTTCCCGAGGAAACCAGCGTTGACCATTGAAGTTAGGAGTTCGGCATTACCGCCTTGGACACGCGGTCCTAGAGCTTTACCCAGGAACTCGGCAACATGAGCGCCAACATCTAATCCAACCTAAGCGCACATTTCTACTCGTTGAAGTTTCAAAGATAACTAACTTCGTCGGCTAAGGTGGCAGCACCAACTGGGAAACCAAACTGCTTTGTGAGCTTATCTAAGTCAGCCGGAGAAACACCTTCCTGAAGAAGACGAACGACTTCCGACATCATTGGTCCAAGACAGCGAACTACGAAAAATCCTGGGCAGTCCTTGAATGATAATGAGGAAATTTCGTTACAACAACGTATAGAATCAGGAAACCTTTACGACAACAACTAATTTTCCTTGCTTCAATCCAGCACGAGCTGCAGTGGCCAACGTTTCTTTCGAAGTTCCTTCATGAACAATAATTTCAAGAAGTTGCATTTTATCTACGGGTGAGAAGTAATGCATACCAATTACCTGAACATTTGCTTTACGCTATATTTGAAAGTTGATCTAACCTTGTCCGGTCGAGATGATGCTTTGGCAATTTCTTTGATTGGAAGAGCAGATGTATTTGATGCAATAACTGTATTCTAAAAGCAGAATTATACAGAAGATGATGCATAGGCTTCTTACTGGTCCAACGATCGACTCAATTTGCTTGATAACCTTATGCTTCAGGTTAATGTCTTCAAAAACAGCTTCAATAACCAGGTCAGAGTTCTTAATGGCGCTGTAATCAGTAGAGCACTTCAGATTTGAGATAATTCTTTCTTTCTCTAGCTTGTTGATCTTTCTCTTTTTTTCTTGCGTATTAAGCTGAGTCAAAATTTGATTTTGACCGCGCTCTAATCCCTGGAAATTATTGAAATTAAAAAAAATACATCGTAATAATACAAATTTAGAAACATACAGCTTGATTCATATCAATAAGAACGGATTTGACTCCCTTGTCGATAGTTACGTTAGCAATTCCAGCTCCCATCAATCCAGCACCAATTACAGCTACTTCACTGAAAACAATAATTATTTGTTTAAGAAAAAAAATATATCTTACTTCACAGGTAATCCATCGCCATATTTACTTTTTTTGGCTTCAGTTGATCCATTGAACAGTCCTATCAGTGCTGCTGACTGATAACTTTGGGTTAGCTCTCCGAACGCCTTCGATGGTGAAATCAGGCAGTTTTTTAATGTAAATTAGTACCTTAGCTTCATGAGCATAGCCTTGAGAATTTCCTTTCAGAACACCAGTTCGGATGACATCCAAAATCTTAAGTGGGGCGGGATAATTGCCTGCGGTCATTTTCACAATCTGGACAAGAGTAAGCAAAAACATTTAAGAACTTCAAACCTTATCTCTAGCCATTTTCAAAACCACATTGTCCAGAATCAGAGAGCTTTTCATAATCTGCAATGTGAAGTTAAAGTTTGAGAAATACAAATCTTATATACATACAGATTGTGTTAAATTGTACATTTTACCCTTATCTCTGTTGATCTTGAGAGAACCTGAAGAGAGCTGCCTGGCAGTATTGACCGCAACTTCCTCAAGATATCTTAAGAGTAGATCAATTTTATTATGAATCATTTGAAATTAATACCTATGAGTGTTCTGAACAGCGGGACCAACTCCATCACCGAGAGGCTGAACAATCTGATCGACTAGTCCCATCTTCTTAGCCTAATTTGAGGAATATTATACTAAACAAAAAACTTAATTTCAAACCTTGTCTGCACGTACTCTTTTACCCGTAAGAGTCATATCCAGAGCGTTTTGGAGAGACACAAGCTTTGGCAAACGTTGAGTACCTCCAGCGCCAGGAAGCAAACCAAGCATAACCTAATAATTAGAGGAAATATCGTTTAAAGCATGAACCATTTCTTTACCTCGGGTAAAGCCAGCTGAGTTTTTTTATCATTAACAGCTATTCTATAATGACAAGCCAGAGCTAACTCTAAACCTCCTCCCATACAGCTTCCCATGATGGCAGCAACAATAGGTTTATCTGACTTCTCAAGTTTGAAGAACTGTTCTTGACCTTCTCTGTAACACATTCAATGATTTCAAAACTTTGGAAAATGGCGAACTTGGAAATGGCTTCTCCTGCTTCAACGGTGTTGGCTTTCTTCAACATGTTTATGTCAGCGCCAGCAACAAAGCTATTTGGTTTTCCTGACATCAATACGATAGATTTAACAGCATCGTCTCGTTGAACCTCAAAACACCTTTTTTCTTTTTTTGAAGATTCTAAACTTACTGATTCTATTGCTCCCTTGATATCAGCACTCACGGCTTCGTTCAAAGTATTTTCTTTCACATTTGGAGCGTCAATCTTTATGACTGCTACATCTCCTTTCTTCTCAACGCGAACAGTGCCTAGAGTAAAGAGTATGGTGAGTTTCAAACTAATCATAATTACCTTGACTCAAAATGGGACTGCTGCTCAGGTTCCTCAATGAGCATCCTAAAAAGTAATAACGATATCAGTGAACATTCATATATTTTTAATATTATCACTCAAATTATTCGGAAAAAAAATTGAAATGCTTACCAAGGAATCGATTTCCATGTGCCAAACGAGACAACATGATGGAAACAGTCTGAAACCAAGATTATCAATATTGTTCTGTAAAGCACAACGAATGGAAGCTTTCGAAAAGAAACAATACAAGATTGTAGGAAAGAAAAAAAGAGGTTTCTCGGACTAGATTAACCCGCCATAGTATCCTGCCCCTCCCCTTCTAACAGATAGTCCATAGTCCAAAGTACGTAAAGTAGCGTTAGCGTATAAGAGATAGAAATTGGTCAGTCTTAGGTACGTTTGTTTTTGCAGTGATAATGGTTTTTAAGAAAGTGACCACAATATATGGTACAACATATTGTTTATATTTTCTAAAAACTGATTTTGGTCAATTTGAAGATGAGATAGGAGACTATAGTTCTCGTGCATTATATAACTGAAGGAAGGTAATGTACGCAGCACAGGAACGTTAAGAGTAAACTTTTAAGAAAGCTGTGTAAATAGTTTATTATAAATAAAACAAAGTACTCGACACAACGGATTGAGCTCAAAAAGAAGAAAGCAAAATCTGGAAGATATTCTATGAAGACAGATAGATAAGACTGAATTATTGGTACAAACCAAATAACCGATAAGAACAATCTAAATGGAATAAGGGAAGCCTCGTGTCGTATGGCGAATTTGAACAAACTAATATCATACGAACCGGAAGTGTTCCTTTTATGAAGAACTCACTAATGTGTAGATCAGACTGAAAACAAACGATTATAAATCATAATAAACTTTGGCTCCGACTGAGCCCAAGTAACTTACGCGTAAAGGTAGTAGAAAAAGGAAATAAGGTAGAATGCGAGTTTAGCCCAACTAGCTCTTAGTGCAGCACTCAGTTCATTTCTGTTCAAAATAGTGGTAGGATCATAAATTCCAGGTCCGGACATCACAGGTCTTCGGGAATATCTGTAGAATATACATTAGAGATAGGAGAAAAATGTACTTACGTGAGACCATGGTAGATAACAAGGGGTAAATTCATTAAAGTCGCAACAATTTGAGTGGAAAAGAGGAACAGTACAACCATAACTGCATGAATGGCATATTCGGGAAGGATCAGCTGAAGTGAGAGAAGTATTCTATGCTTCCAAGTTCAAACCAACTTGATTTAAATTTCTACATTGTTCAATAGGGTTCTTGTAATCCGTCTTTAACTCATCAATGCAAATAACCTAAAAAAAATAAGATCATGATAAAAATAATGAATGAAGCGAAACTCACAGTGTAAATTGCAAAGAAAATACAAAAAGCAACTCCAATCAGGGCAAGAAGATAGGCTGCAGCAGCAAACGTGAAAGCCATACCTGAGCTGGATTGCACTAAAACTAATATGTGTTATGTTATGACAAATATCATTTCAAGGTCAATGACTGACCACAATCGACATATCATGCAACACAATTCGGACAATGTACCGAATACAATATGCTTTTAGTGACGCACCGGAACTAGCGTTTTTCAACAAATTAGGTATCATCATACGCATTCTCAGATCAGAGGACTTGAGGTAGTAACATACGCAAAAAAATCGAGTTAGCGCGCGACTGCTGCTGAGCCATTACAGCTAAAATATCAACGTAACGCTCATGCCCAGTATTGATCAAAATGCTCAGCCGTCAAAAAAAAAATGGAGCAACAATGGACCTCATGAGTTGTGAACAACGAAGACAGGAAGAACAGAAAGAAATTTTGGCAATCAGATGTCTAGAAAGAAATCTGACGATCGCGCAAAAGCGATGGAGAAAGTAGAAACAGGGTTGTTTCAAAAAAGAAAATGAGCGAAACAGGAAGCAGTGACGAAACAAAAAAGAGATAATTCCAACGATAGTAACGTTTGGCCTCTCTATGAAGAGAAAGAAACAAACACATTTGACGATGAAAACATTATTATGACAGCAATAAACAAGTGGAAATGAAATACAACAAAACTGATAATGTGAATATAATTACAACATTAGAGAAATCAGAAAAGCTTATTCAGATCAGTACGTTTGAGAATTCTGTTAAGTGCACATGTACAGTTATGGTTCAACAGTAGCTTCTTCGACTAAGTGTCCAGCATCCAACGGATCTTGAATCTCTACTACGCCTTCGATTTCTACTTCTTCCTACAAAACAATGACGATGAGAACCAGTACGAGTTTCACCGACCTCTCTCTTAGCATTGGAAGAAAGCAGCGCTCTAGGCTTATAGTCTGGTGGGAATATAGGATCCATATTCTCGCCAAGCAGTTCAGATACCTGGAAAAATAATAAGAATGAATTGCATTCACAAGTCACCTCATCATAAGTTAAGTCATGAACAACGCCATTATCATCAAGCCCCGCAATGACAAGTGGATGATAGATATCCTGCTAAACATAAGTCGTCATAAAGCCCGATTTCTTCAAAGTTACCCCTTCTTGCAACCCCATGATTTTATCTCGTTCTCCCGTTGACATTGCGAGAGGCATATAAATAAATCGTTTCCAAATACCAAGGCCGGGTATATATCTGAAACTCTCGTGTTCACATGTTTGGACACATTTGAACGGATACCTGAGGGAATTTTTGTGGAAATGGGCTGTACATAGATAATGCCTTCCTCTATTCATTAACCGACTCTGGAGGCGTTGTCGGAACTGAAAGAACCTCTTCCAAATGTGTTATTGCTATGTACTTACGAAGTGATCTCTACAAATTGAATCGATCCAAGCCTTTCTTTTTTCAAACGGTTCAGCAGGGAATGGTACCATATTTGCACCAACATCTCTATGATTACATTGTACACACTGAACTTCGATTTGAGCTACAAGCCGACGTTCCGCTATGACGCTGTAGGGATCCTGAGTTATTTTTACATTTAAAACTAATTGGTCATAACTAACCACAGATGGCAAGTGAGCTTTACATATTCGGCATGGATGCATAGCTAACTGTTCCACGCCTTTTTTCATCATCTATTAAAATCAGAATTATTTAAGGATCGATACAACTGCATACTGGTTTGTCGCCGGATAATAGCTCTACCAACAAGATGCGTTCCGCTTGTGTGGAAGGAGGTCTAATTTCAACCAAAGAGTCCCCTGGACCCCACATATCACAAAGCGGACATTTGATGAAACCTTGTGGTCCTCTAGGAGTGACATCATATTCTGATAGTCCCTGAGAATATCTTACGATTATCTTGAACAATAAAAAAAATCACCAGAGGAAGAGGGATAGACGCTTCATTGAACTCAACACAATCTTCTTTTTCCACAAATGCATCCTGGCAGAAATGGTAGACACACAAACGATATCTTGTCGATTTTGCTCTTGTCAGTCTATCTTTTAGCCATTTCCATCTCCTCTCTACTAAGCGATTAATAGGAGGACCACTCACAAGGGTGTGAACCCACAACCGTCTTAAACAGAAATCAGTAGGATAGACTTTTTCAGCAAACCTCAGAACTCGATCATTTGGAAAGGGTAATAAAAGATTGGGATCCTTCAAGTCTTCGTCGCATAGTACACAGAACGTTTTAACCCACTCATCCATTTTTTGATGCAGCTGCTAAAAACAAAATAATGAGCATTAACCACATTTCAAGAACTTGCTCTATAAGCCAAGTGAGATTCACAAATTGTTATGGGACAGAAATGATAATTTCCATGTTTGACAAAATCATTCTTTCGTTTTAGCCATAACACGCGCATGGACTCTTCGAATTCACTAGGCCAATTCATGATCTCTAACCATTTCTCATGTTTAGGTCTGAAAATGAGTGAAATGAATACATGATCGAATAGTTTGGCTATACTCGTCAAATGGCCAAGTTCTCGGTTTATGTTCTTCCATACTCTTACGAGAAGACATAACTCGATTGCAAACCTGACAGAAATATGCTGTGTGAACTTGTTCGCCATTGTATTGCTCAGCAGCCTTTAATGCTTCTAATTCCTCATCACTGTCTTCCGAGTACTCAATAGGAGTATACATATCTGCATTCTGGATTTCGGGCTCCTCTCTATATGGAAATCGTTTGAGAGTTCCAATAAAAATAAAACTGACGAGAATGCTATCTCTACTTCAGGCCCAGTAATTCCATGCAACTGCCGCGGATTGTCGAGATACATATGAGAAGTGGATGGCCCTGAAAAGATTATTGAAAGAAATACAAAATCAATTGAATACCATCTATATCTTCCACAATTTGATCGTCATCATACTGTATGTTGGAAACGTATGAATATTCCGGACGATCATACATGTACATTCTTCTATTGTGGGATCTTCTCATTTTGTCTGATAAATATCTATACTGAAAACCATCCATGCGGCCCTATAAAAAAAAATAGCAACAAATTTTCAAAAGGTTTAACCTTGGCGAAGCCTTCTCTTCTGAACATCATCATATCTTCCCTGCGGCCAACAGGATCGATATTTCTGGAGAGTATGGTGTCTCCGTGATTTATCATGTATATTCGGTTAGCTTGTTTATCTTCCTCGCAAAGCTGAAAAAAAGCGATGAAGTAAAAAACATGTTAAAAGTCTCACTGTTGCATCGGGAACTGCATCTTTTCGTAAGCGCCATTCGCCGAACTGATTAATATCAAAATCATTGTCACTGAAGTGCCAATCACAAAGAAATTTGGATGCTCCGTTTTTAAGTTTCTCTTGCAACACTCTTGAATAATTGTAAATAATTTGCCGATATTGAATACAACAGTTTCTCACTCTCTTATAGCTGAATCTCCGTCACCACAAATAGCATTCACCCATTTATACCTGCAAAAGTAGAAATTGAATGTTCGATGACTTTTCCTACCTTCTGCTCCTAGTTCTAGTGAAAGGAACCATGCATCTTAGAACGTTTTTTGCTTGGCAGAAAACACATTCTAATTCCAAAGAATCAAAATCGAATACCTCATCGTCTTGGATTGAATAACTCTGTAACCACGGGCATAACTTTAAAAAAGAGTGAATGCTTACGTCAGGATCTTGCCTCATATCAATAGGTAATAACTGTCTGTTTTTCAAATTATGAGATCCTACAGGAAAATGGATAGGACAGGCTTCTCCACAGTGTGTTGCATCCGAAAATGCTTCTCGCACCCACAGCTCAGCTGAACGCTCTGCATCTAGATTGAATCTAAGAATCCATACCCTTCGTAGCTAAAATTAACATTCTGCATAAGAAATGGAAGTTGCAGAAATACCCTATGTTCACTTGGTAAACTTCGCAACTTTCCAAAAACCTTTTTTCGGCATATTTGACAATACTTCGAACCATCATTGCGCTTACAATAATCTTGGTTTTTGTAACGATCATAATGCCTGAAACTCTCTCATACTTGTAGCATACATTAATATGCTTACCTCATTGGTGTTGAGGCACTTTCTTTTCTTTTGGAGCCTTTCTCTTTTCTGTAAATAACTTTACTTATACAACAAAAAAATTCTTTCACGAACCGTGAGATTATTTCACTTTTCAAATTCTGACCATTAGATTCTTCCACAAGCTATAATAAGTTTGTATTGAGAAGAAATTCGTATCGAAATAACCTCAACGTCAAGCTCATTATCCAGAATACATTCTATTTTTGTTTCATTTTCATACATATTTTGGTGACTTCAAGAAGAATATATTGAAAGTACACTTAGGACTTCAAACCTAGTTCCTTCAACATTGTTAAAGCTTTCCTCTAGAGCCTCTCTTTTAACAACTGGCTCCTCTTGCGAAATGCTTGCACTCCCTCGGCGACGCGTGGGTCCCATTTGGTGGCTTTCTTAAATTTGTGATCTCATAATACATAACCAAAAAGTATTTTGATTATGCACCTGATAAGTTTCTGTCATTTTTCGAATCTTCTTCCGAAACATACCAAAGACAAAAAGCTATATTTAAAGGAAAATTCAAAACTTACCCTTTAAAAATTAAAGGACGATGACAGGAAACCTTTAAACAGTCCGATTATTATCTACGCAATTGCTGGTAAAAGCAGTGCAACTCGAGAGTACACTTCGTTGGAATAAAAACGTTTAAATATTCTTATGCGCGCGAAGTCAAATATGGGTAATATAAAGACAGATTTTAAATTATTACGAAATATTGAGGGTATAAATTTTCCTCCATCATTGATTGATTACAGTCAGAGTTGCTCGGCAGCATGGTTCGACTTAGTTCCACATATAATGTCCACCCTCTTGAAAAAGAATATGTTAAAAGAAGTTAGGACTGAGTTATTTTCACGGAGCTGTAATCATTTTTAAGAAATACAACTTCGGGATTATCAAGAAGAAGGTATAAAAACTATGGTCAAGTGGTTTGAAAAAGGTAAAGGGGGAATAAATGGAGACGAGATGGGATTGGGTAAAACTTGTCAAGTTGAGTAATAGTTGGTTAATCATTAAAATTTGTTTTTTATATTAGGCCATTGTTTTCATGACAATTCTACATAGTAAAGGAGCTGGACCATTCATCGTGTCAGCGCCTCTTTCTGTTATACCTCATTGGGTGAAAGAAGTTACGAAATTTTCTTGTGGAGTCTTGAAGCCAATCAACACTCATCCAGCTACTCGAATGCACATTAAATATCCAGAAGGCTTAGAGGTGCAGAAAAATATGGTTTTCGTGACCAGTAACAAAGTAATCGCTGATTTTCTTAATCTGGAAGATTTTTTGTTCCAGCTTATAAGTACTAAGAAAACATCCCATCCCATATTGCGAGTCGAAGAATTCTTGGGTATCAATTTTCGATATGTAATCATTGATGAAGCTCACGTACTCAAAGGTCGTTCTATGTTCAGGAAGCTGCTTTACGAGGTCAGTCCATATCATTGAATTGTTTCGGTTTTATTTTTCACTTGCAGAATAGAAGGGACAGACGTTTTCTTCTTCTTACCGGAACCCCTCTGCAGAACAATGTTGCAGAGGCATTCTCACTTTTGCAGTTCATAGATGTATGACTGTTCACTCTCTAGTAAATTATATTATTGTCGTTTAGGACTCATTTTGTGGAATACCTGAAAAAGAATTTGTGAGTGAACATAGCACAGGAGAAGGATTGCTAAAACTGAAGAGAATTCTATCAAAATTTATGATTCGTCGTTTAAAAGCAGATGTTATGGAGCTACCAGAGAGTAATGAGGTATGAAGTAATTTTTGATAAGTAAACTGTTGATGAAGATTGTGATGTATCACGGTCTCTCTCCATTGCAAAGGAAACTATATTTACAATATCTTGAAGGAAAGCATGCAGGCAAGAATATTTAGTAAATGGTTACAAGTTCTGATGAATTCATTGTTTAAGGATTTCGTTTATCTACCCTTTTTATACAGTTGCGTAAAATGGTGTCTCACCCTTATTTATTCCGTGGTATTCTCTAGTTCTTCTTTTTATTTGTAATTTGTTGTTCAGATATCGAACCTGAACCATATGTTGAAGGAGAACACTTGGTATTGGAAAGCGGTAAAATGAGGGTTTGCTCTTCCACATATATGCTGCCCGCTCAAATCACTTGTTTTTAGTTGTTCAGTGATCTCTGCAGGTACTTGAAATCAAGAAAACATAAAGTTCTTGTTTTTTGTCAATTCATCACTACGTGTCTTATTATCGAAGACTTTATGGACATGCGAGGTTACTCTAGATATACCGAGGCTCGACCAGTGTAGTTTTAGGATATAAGTTCCAGAGTATGCGTGGAGAGACAAAGATGGAGCTTCGAGGAGATTGCGTAGATACATTTCGTGAGATTAGATTCCTCTAATTTTTTAAACTCATACTTTTCTAGAAAATGATCCCAATGTGTTTGCTTTCATAATGACTACCAAGACTGGTGGAGTAGGATTAACATTGACAGCTGCAGATACAGTTGTGTTCTTCGATACGGATTTCAATCCTCATAATGACTTACAAGCCATGGCGAGAACTCACCGGATTGGCCAAAATAAGTTATACCATCACTTGTTTAAGATATATTCAATGTGTCTTCTACAGACAAGTGCGTGTTATTCGTTTAATAGGATCTGGAACGGTAGATGATTACGTGTACAATGTAGCGTTTCAGAAACTGAAACTTCACAAAGGTGTCACGGGCGAATCAAGTAATCTTTCTTACTATTACTTCCCTATTTTTCGATTCAGTTGAGCCCAGAAGTCTGATAGACTTTGATGAGTTCAGAAGGATGTACAGTGGATCTGAAATTCAGGATGCTGTTGCTATGGTAGCGATTACGGTTGTGTGGTTGAAAAAGTTTTCATTTTTATAGTCTGACGAAGATATCGAAAAACTACTAGGTAAAACTAATACTGATAATTTATGGGAGCCGTTCGTGGATAATGATGAGGTTACTTAACTTTTAGCACTAAATGTAGCTCTTTCTACAGAACTTCGTTCAAGACTGCGATGAGAGACCAGCGCGTCTCAAAGATTTTATGGACTATGAAGTTTGTCATTCAACGCTTTGAACTATTACATAAAGAAAATATTCAGGGATCCTCATACAGAGGTGTTAGGAATAAAAATATTAGAGAACGCGAGGAAAAGTCTTGGGGTGATTATAAACCTGTGCAGCGCAAAGAAAAAGGCTTTTACGCAGGTGTGTTCATCCAGATATCTTATCTACCAGAACTATTACAGAACCTGATGACAGCATCTTCAGATATTGAAACTGTTTGATGTTGGAATGCTGAGTGTTTTTAAAAAAATTTATGAATTTAACATTTTGTATACTTTGATGCATGGCATTGTTATTCAAACATAAACGTTCTACTAACAATTGCAGTGTTATTTATGCGATAAGTGTCATCACTCAAAATTACAGTACGTAGTTTCAACATTTCATGTATGTACGCAAAATACCAAATTTTTTGAAATTTTGAGGGCGGGACTCTATGAAGCGGGTACAATACTCCATAAGTTTTGAATTATCTTTTTCAAAATAGTGTATATTGGTACCTTTTTTGCATTATCTACTATTCAGTAACTTTTGATATTATTTTGTTATAACTACTTTTAGGTGGTTTCTATTTGAGCAGATACTGAATGACGGAGAATCAAGAGGTTGAATGATCTATCTTAGCTAGGATCGGAAATATTTTTTTTACAGGTTATTAAATATGTCAATGGGAACATCCTCGAACATGAGACTCAGGGTTCTCGAAAAGTTATGATTTTTGCTGTCGACGATAGCGGTAGTTTGTTCCATACATAAGTTACAAAGATATGCTTTAGGAGAGTTTGGTTCTGGTCATCTGTTTCGATCTCTGATTGATCGATACCCGGGAATCGTTGATAAATATGAGTCCCTGACGGATTTGGAATTAGGAGATGTTCACGTCGTATATGACAGCCCGCAAGCCACTGTGGTTTTTCTTATAGTTTTAAGTTCGGAAGACAGAAGTATTATTTTTCTGTCAAAAAAGAACCTGAAAATCAAAACTTCCAGGCACTATAGAAGATTCAGTAATGGAGAAAGCTGTAAAGCGTTCCTCAGTAATCGTGAAAGATATTCCAAGGGCGATGGTGTACTTACCTAGAATCGGCTATGGAACAGATCTACCGTTTTCACGGGTTAGTGAATACGATAGGTTCCTTGAATGTTCATTTAGGTTGAAGATTTGTTGAGAAAGTATTACCTAAGCTCGAGTATCCCATGTATTGTTTTCCATTATCGAAAACCTGTAAATGATAGGAAGCGAAATGTTTTTCGAGCAGTCAATAATGTCTCTGACCATTCACAATCTCCTTTACCAGGTTCGATCGCGTTAAAGCTCTTTACAAATTAAATATCACAGCTAAACGTAAAAGAAAGGAGCTTCACTCCTTTATTGAGTACAAAGACGAGGATGAAGAAAGTTCTTCGTCAAGCGATGAGAGTAGTGAAGGGGATTACGAACCCAGCGATTATGAAGGTTGGTGTTATTTTGCATATGGTAACTAACTTGACTTATCCAGAAGATTTGGATGAAATGAGTTCTAGCGGCGAAGATGATATGTCTTGTGAAGAAGAAGAGAACGAAAAAAAATTATGGTTCCACAATAAGAAACGTATCGCAAACTCTCCCAATTCTCGCCACATTAAACAGATAAACAAATCTTCTTCTCCAAAAAACGATCCTGATGTGCAGCCAGAGCCGAAAACTTCATATGAGCATATAAAAAGCGGGATTGTTTCTTTGAATGATGTTCCAGAGGATCTGAGAGAACAATATAGGTTAGAGTAATGATCTTAGCTGGGTATCAACTATTTTAGTGACTTCGTAATGGAAAATGGAGGTGAAGTAGTCTACGATGAAGGGGATTTGAAAAAAGCTACCCTATCAATAATACATACACCAGACCTATTGGATAACCAGGAAAAGCTAGAAAAGTTCAAGTACTGTTTTTTTCAATTCTTTATACAGCACGGGTTTCAGAGAAAAATTTGAGCCCAGCTGCATTCATGTTTCCTTCCGCTATGTCAATAGCTTGAAAGATGATCAATCAGTATCATGCATTAGCTCTTATATATTATAATTCTACTTATGGGAATGAAAAAGTTTATTACATCACCAGGAAATAAGTGAAAAAGGAAACAGTAAGAGATCAAATATACAACTGAGAATCAACATTCTTTGATATTGTTTTTGCTATTTTTCTTCTGCTTCTTGCTCAAAGAAGCAGGACTCAGTTTTTTCTTGTTAGGCATGGCTTTCAATCCTTTGTTTTTCTTATTGATGGTTTTGGACACTATCATTTTCCTTAATCTGATGGCAGCAGCATTCTCGTTTTTTGGATCCAGAATAATGAACCTTGAAGAGCTATGTTACGTACGCCACAAAATCATGACATACCCCTCTTTTCTATACAGTTCGGCACTATCTACAGCTTTTCTAGCCTTGGTAAACGTAATTTTCTCCTTCAGCAAGCGATGTGTTGTACTGACCAAAGCTTTATCAACATCTGGCTTCTTTTCTGCGAAAAAGAATCATATAGTGGCTCTACTTTGTGAAACAAACATACGCCCACTAGCTCCTGCTTTGAGCAAATCGTCCAATTTAGTTGTATGTTTCTTTTTCGAACGAACAAACATCGTTACCTGTAGCTTGGAATAAAATAGTCACACAACAGAGAAGGTAATTAGAAAGACAAAACTTCTCAAAACGTCTTCAAGTGTTACACTATCATAAATATTTATGGTACAACAGTAGAAACATGTGTGCTAGTTATGAAACAACTTTAGTAGTTTACTACCGGTCTTTATTTTACTGAGACTAGGGGTTTTATGGAGTTGGACAGGTTTTGGAGCTTTAGCTCTCAATTGGCTTGAACGACTAGAAGAACGGAGAGAAAAGCCACTGGATTTACCTATAATGCCAGGAAAACGTACTGTAAGGAATAATAATTAGTCTTACGTGATGATACTATTTCAGAGTCTGAAGAGCAGAGACGAGGAGATGGACTGCGGGTTCCGTTAACAATGCTCTAAACAAAGAATTAAAGAAATTCAATCTGAATCATGTTCAACTTTGAAAGATGAATGGAATATTTGTGATAGAGGACGACTATCACCAGTTGCAGCGAATTCAGAAAACTGAGCTTTGTATTTGGCAGCTACAGACTCTCCCTCTAATTCAGGAACTTGTCTGAAAGTCTTAAAAATTCGAAGCTTTTAATCATAGCTTTCCAAGTGATGGGTCACGTGGATCATATCATGCGAGGCTCATTAGAGTAAAGACAACAAGGAGCGGTTGCATTGAAAAGAAACAAATCGATGACCAACCTATAGCGTTCGAGATCATTCTTGTTACCTAATAGAATAGTTTTGTGCTCTCTAGCACATAATACGTGCTCATGTTTGCTAATCCGCTCTAGAATGTTTTCTGCATACCTGAAACCGAATACAGTGTAAACTATATGGAAAATACTTCACACTGTAAGCTGAGTTGGCTGGTAACATCATAAACCACAACGAAAACATCAGCCCAAGCCATCCATCGCATCTCATCTCTGTTAGCGTCATCAACAGTGTCCATTACCCATACCATTAATGATTGCCCATCAACCATATCTTGGCGACAATAAGTATCTTCTGAGCAGTTTTTTCTCTTATTTGATGTATGTCAATTGGCAAACCTAACAACGAATCATATTCGCCAATAAACCTTTTAGTTATATACTTTACTGCAATTGCTGTAATAATCAATATGAGCGTCTGATAAGTGCAAAAGTAATAGCGAACCTGATTTACCTGAGCCCGACATACCCACGAGAGCCACATGTAACTCTCGTAAAGCTACAGAAGGTCGCATTACTGGAACAAATTTAGTTTACTCAAAAAAATAAAATTAATTACAGAAGTGAAAACGCTTATATTTTCATTTTGATGTTAAACTAACCTGAGACTCAAACTGTGAAGAAGTCTCAGAGGATTCTGGTTCAGTGCTTTTCGGAGTTTCTTCACAGCTCAGAGAATCGTCCGAATGAAGATCAGAATGTTTGGGTATATAAACTATGCAAGTAGGATTTGGCCGCTGTCGGTCGATTGCAATGCACAAGGGGTCAGTAGGATGAAACAGCAGGGACACCTGACGTCCTATAGGTTCTACCAGCCCATCGAAAGGCAAACGATGGAACAATCTCTTCGTTCTTTTAGATCCTATTCTGAATAGGATATGAATAGCATCATAGCTAACAAGCAACACTACTTGATCTCTTTGTAGTCCTGATACTCTACTTGTGTTTTCCCACACAACATTTTCATTTGAAAGCGATCTTCTATTTGGAATATTGAGGGATCCAGATACGGGGATTGTAGGCTGACCTTATTTGCCTACAAAATTCAAATTGAGAATGTTAAAACGAATTAAAATTTACGTGCAATGACGGCATAGGTAACTGATTGATCACACGTCTTCTTACATCCGATTGACTCCTTACTGATAGTTGAGCATTTGAAGAAGAATAGTATGAATAAACCTACTTCGTTTTCGATAGCGGTTAACACATTGAAGAGCAACACTTCTAAACTGCGAGGCACCAGGCCAACATACATCACTCATAGGAAAAACCAAAGACTCTGGAGCTTCTTCATACAGCGCCATGAACGCAGTGTCGTACTATAAAGAAAAACTATAAAAGTAAACAAATAAACGACGAACATTTTCGTAAACTTCTAAAATCTCGGCATTTCTCCAATCCATAATTACAAAGAAACAGGGTAACAAATTGGGATCCCTGTTGGCAATTTCATTGCTGTTGATAATCATATGCACTGTAAACAATTTCATTGATATATGAGAATGGAACAGAGAGTTTCACTTGGCAACATCCTAATCATCAGATAGAAATCTTCGAACAAACCAACTCTATCCATACGCAAACTATCCCGATAAACAGACCCCCTCAAAAAATCAGCGACTTTATTCTCTGTTTTAGCTCTTTTGAAAAGAAACGAATTCAGACGTTGTTTGAAGCCTGACATGACGTCAGTTCGGAGATAAGAATCGTGCAAGTCGCCACTGAATTCATAGTTTCAAATCAACACCAAATCATAACTTACTATAGATACATAGCATCGTCATCATGGATTGTGTATCCTATAATTCGTAAAGGGACTAGACTACCAGTATCCGAAGCGATTTGCACAACATGAATAACTTGTTGATGATGAGAAGTTATCATTAGATAACGACCACAAACGTTGGCGCCATGTGTTAAGCTAACCCGATCCGCTAGTAATTGATAAACACCGCTTATTTGGCCATCCTTAATTCATATATACTACAAAACTTATTCGTTGAAAATACCTTCAAAGCATAGGATAAGAAAGTATAATCGTCTATAGAAAGAGCAGATAAAGGCAAGCTTTCATTATGAGAATAGACTCGATCAAGGTTATAACCTGCTTCGTTCCCCTAAACAGATAGAGGAGTGAAACTATTCGAAAACATTGTAACTTACTCGTAAAGCCGCAATGCAAACTATAACAAAATGCCTGCTGTCAGATGTGAAATAGAGACCGTCTTGCTTGAAATGTCCCTCATATGGTAGGGTCATCTCGGATACAAGTTCTAGCGATTTCTTGAAATAAAATCATATATCGTCGACATTTTTCAGCAAACTTGTAAAAAGTCTTCAGGTGCAGCATCCAAACCCCTTTCAACTCCCAAATACTTGTATATACGTAAAGCTTTCATTCCACAATGCATCGCAACCGCGTATTTTCCATCAGGGGACCATCCCAAAAATGAATAACGATTGCTAGGTTCAAAACCAACCTAAGGTTGAACGTTATAAGGCTTGAAATACCTAGGTACTGACCACAAAATTTCTTTTCAATGGGATAGTTGAATAAAAATCCCGATTGCCCAAGTAACTTTTGTATGCCCTTCTTGTTAAATGTATTCCAATCTCCCGCTCCTTGAGCATGACAAAGGGGCTGCATGAGGGAACATGGCGTCGTTTACACCAATCCTCCGAAAATTGGGTTTCCGACAGGAATATGGGCTTCGATCGAGAACTGGACGGCTCATTCATTCCTACTATATTAATAAACAATTAGATATAATGGATATCCTACAAGTTTCAATCGGAAGCCCCGAAATATAAAATATGCTAAGGGATATCCCGAATAAATGAGTCAGACAGAGAAGAACGCTATCATTCAATACATCATTCTACATTACAGAAGTCATATCTACTGCTTTAATTTCTCTAATTAATGCGATTCCATTGGAAATAGTCCGGCTTGTACTGGCCAGGCTCTGGATGATCAGCAAGATATGGAGAGTCGATCTTTCCTTCCATGTAGAGCTTTCGTCTCTGAGCTCCAATAGCCTCAGCTCTCTGAAACTCACTGTTAACAAAATTTCTACTTTCACGAAATGTACCTTCTTCTGCTTGTCACCAGTTAAGCATTCCTGGAAGTCTCTGTGTTCTAAGTCGCAATACTTACGGCCAAGTTTAGCTCCATAAGCTTCCATGCATCGATAGAACTGAGATTCAAAGAATCCACATACACGACCTGAAAATCGGTTCACTTCCAAGTTTTTTTTTCAAATCACCTTGTTGAGAAAGAGGAAGAGAGAAAGTGTCCGAGATCGGAGCTTTCACAACTGGAGTAAGGGTTGAGAAATTCTCCGGCACCCTATTTCCTGTGGCCATACCTAAGATGAAATAGTTTGTTAACCATTTAAGTGATGTGTATTGAAATAATTTTTCAAATTGCTTCACTCTCAGTAATATCAATATTCCATACTCTATATGAAACTACGCTTTGAACACTTCCAACCCAGATGAACTCCAGAGACTCAATAAAGAAAACCCAGAGCGGGTTTACCTAATTATGGCTCCCGCATCCTTCTTCTTGGAATAGCCAGAAAATCGATTTTTATTCTCAAGCGTCCCTAAGCATCGAAAAAGCTCACAACAAAATGGATGTGATATACGATGTAGTAGAAAGTGAGTTTAAAATTTGGTGATCAAACAAATTCCCATTAAGGCATTCACATTTTCATTCCTCTGGTAGCGATCGTGTTCATCTGCGTAGTTTTATACATAAATGGAAGGAAAGACACCGAAGAGAGCCATGCACTTCGAACAGAAAGTAGCATTGTAGGAGCAAATGAAGGTTTGTAGTTCAATGAAAACGAGATAGTCACAGGTTTAGAACCTATGTGAATTGATGATTAACACAGTACTCTACTATATCTTTCAGAAAACGTTACAACATCGAAAACAGAAGAAGACAAGAAGTGCGATTAATTGCAATTTACAAGAAAAGCTATTTCAAAGAGCAAAAGCTATCAACACAATGTTGTTTCTAAAAAATGAAAATCCGTTCTTACAGTTCTGTGAATATGTTTCTTTAATAAATAGGTATCAGCATAAATTATAGTTTCTTATGTAACACGAAGGAAATGAAAATAAATACAGCTCAAAGCAGGACTAAGCATTCGGGCACCGAGCATCAAAATTATATTACAAGGTATATTAACAGTAGATTATAAACAGATATCAAATAATGCTTAAGAATTTTTTTTAAAGTTTCAACCTTCTATTCATGCTTCTGGGATAGTGGATCGCACAAACTTTGCGAACTCCCCATTGTCATCTGAGTCTTCGTATTTCTGGAAGAAAGGCTCTGCAGCTAACGCTCTTAAGTTGGATCGTTCAGTAGGTGTTTTGTTCAAACACTTTGAAACGAAAACGATTAAATCATCGCTGAAAAAGCCTTTTGGAAGTGCAGGTGGTGGCTCATTAACAATGTAATCCAACATTTCGAAAATTGCCATTGCTGCCGGAGTCTTAGACGCTTGGTAAGCCGGAACCTATATCTCGCATGTTATTTTTCTCAGGATCAGTCTCACCTCTGTCCGTCCATCAGACAAATGTATTTTATCTTCTGAAACTCCAAGGATCTGTGAATACTCAGCAATTGAAGGAGCAGGGACAGGATATCGCCCAATCAGCAACTCAACAAGCGACAAGCCAACAGACCAAATATCGGAGTGAATGGAATAGTGAGACCCAGTGAGTCGTTCCGGCTATAAATATCGCTTAAATTTGAATAAAAATAAAGTTCATATTACAGCCATATACGATCGAGTTCCAACAAATGAGTTAGCCATACTGTCTATCAACATTCCCGAAACTCCGAAATCGCAAAGCTTTATATCGCCGCTGCTGTTAACGAGCATGTTGGATGGTTTGACGTCTTTAAACATTAGAATAAAAAACGAGGAATCTATAAACAGAGAAAACCTCGATGAAGTATTTTGATTTCCTCCTTCAAATATGAAAGACCTCGAATGACAGCAACAGATATTCTGCCCACAAATTTTTCCGGCAACCGCCCAACCTGAAGATTGCCTATTCTCTAACTATTGTAAGCGCTTGCACAGACCTTCTTGAGCACAATATCTAGAGATAAACCATCCATGTACTCCATACAAATCGAGATATCATTATTATTATTGTCGACAAAAGCACCATAGAACCCAACGATATAGGGACTGTTGCATTTGTGCAGAACAGACAATTCTGATGTGATAAAGGTGAAAGAAAAAAGATTTCAGAAAACCTTTTATGATTTGTTGTCTTACAGAAGGTTTCACCTCAAGGTGGACTAGTTTTCGAGCCATCGTTACTGCTTTCTTCTTATGAACAACCTACAAAATATAGCTCTAACTTTCTCGCGAATTTCTACACTTACCTTATGTACAACACCCCCATTTCCATGCCCTAGCTCTCCCTTGTTTTCAAGAACATCCTCAGACAAGTCTTCCTGAAAAAAACTTGTCGGGACGTTATTTTCAGAGATCTCACTTGAATGGAATCTTTAATTTGAATCCATTCATTCATTCTCTGCTTCTGAGGTTCTGTTAAACCTAATCTTTTCAGCTGCTCGTCTAATGGTAGAATCGAAGCCTCTTCCTTCAAAGCATCATTATAGAAACACTCTGGGTTTCCATATCACTCACCTCTTTGGAGCCATCTTCCTTCTCATTTTCACTGACAGTGGGTGGAAGGCTAAGCCCTAACGGGTTTCTTCGCTTGCCACTAGACATCTGAAAGATTCTTCATTTTAATCGATAGCACAAAACATGGTTTGAATATTTCTATAGGTATATTACAGACAGAAAAATAAGATGAGCCGTTCATTTATTTTTCTCAACGATAGAACGCAATGACCGCAAAATGACTTGTAAACGGAGTACAAATACAAAATTTCCGCTCTAACAAATACGACATCCTATAGAAGAGCAATATTTTATGAAAATTAGAAGCTTTTAAACGGTGAATTTCCATGAATTTTCTATATATCTATTATCTTCAACAAAATTGATGAAATATTGATGATGCTCTCCAATTGTTTGATTCAAATGTGGTGCTTGTCCTAAGTAGGAGAGGTGAACAAATCAAATCAACTAGAGACTAGGCTATAAACTTGTAGGTTAGAAAATTATAGTTGATCTGTAACTGTGAATTGTGTATATTGTGAGGAAAGTTCTTGTGAGCTTTACAAGTTTGAAACTGTTCTTGGAAATGAAAAAATTGCTGAAAAGAATTTCTGATCCATTTCAGCTGTCTAGAATGTAGAACTGATTGTCGTTATCTAATAGGTAATTCGATTACTTCGTATTGATAGGAAGAGTTGAATCGAATTAGTCGAAGTTGTTCAATTGAAACTATTTTCCAAGAAAAAAATACATCAATTAAGATTTCTCTTTTTGTTTCAGTCATTTATGCATTGAGCTGTCAGTCATTTCCACAAATAGGCAGAAGTAGACCAAGTGATGAATGCTACCTCCCTGTAGAGCAACATGGCTCGTATGAAGTATTAATTAGCGCAGTTTGCCTTGTAGGCTAATGATATTAAAGTGATATCGTCTCATAATGGGCAAATTTGCGCAGATATTTGCTTCAATGATATATGAACAAGCAAATTGTTTCTAGCATTAAAGAAAAATGTGATAAAAGATCGTTTCTTTCTTTCCTAGAGATCTTTAATCAAATGCTTTCATCACCTTCTTGTTGCGAAGAGTTGTAGCATGAAAAAAATGATATATAATAGGCCAATAAACAGGATATGCATTATGGTTTTCTAATCATTCTCAAATGGTTACTTCCAGAAGTTCATTAAGAAATTTTAAATTTTCTTCGACACAAATAGTTTGGCCTTTCTTTGAATCAACTTTGCTTCTATCGAATTATCTCCGAAGAACTGAAAAAATTTCGAATCATTTGATAGCTGATCTGTTGAGTTCCTATTGTTTCTGTCTATTGTCTTCGCTGAATTGGCTTTCTATTGCTACGCTCAAAAAGAAAGCGTTAGATGAAGTGCTTTTGATTTCTATTCGGCTTTTTCATATATTTTCGAACTAGATAAATAGTAAAAACTTCTGGCATGATGTTTTGGCAGGAAAGATATATTTGAAGCTGAAAACTTGGAGATGATATGCTGCAATTTTTCTCTCGGTGTTGTTTTATCCACACTGAAGAAATAGAAAAAATCAAAGTTTCTATTGATGAATCGAAATGTACTTCAATGAAACGTTGATAAAGATGACAAAGCGACTTTCCGTTTTTGATTTTTGACTCATTATCTTGAGTGGGACTGCCTGTGAATATACACACTTCAAAGCATTGAACTACAGAGTATGTTAATCTCAAATTGCACTGATGTAAAAAGGCTTTCCCTTAGAACTCTACCTTCTAGAAAGTCTTGCTTATGATCTGTTCATGGAAAACGGTTTTTAAGTCAAAATTTGAATTTAAATCACCGATAGGAGAGATATGAAAATGTGAAAAAAAACGAGCTTTCTTCTATTCACTTGTAGGTTGATGAAGTTTGGACCGATAGAAACATCAGTCGATCAAATGGAAAGAATAAATATTGGATGTAGATAATCAGTGATATGGCTGTTCAATTTATTATGATTGCCTTAAAAGCTCTATAACATTTTGTTTTCAACATGATCATCAAAGATCTCTGCTCAACATTTCAAATTGACGCTACCTGACTAGCGATAAACGCGTGTCCTTCGCCATCATTTAATATGTAACGAACAAGTGCAGGTTTGTGTGACAGAGTATCCTCGGGCTATATGAACGAATATCTTTGAAACAAGATCGAATTACGTGATCTGATTGGTTGTCTGGATAAGAAATGCTTCATAACTACGCATTATGGATCAACTATCATACCTTCATCTTGTTTTTATCAACTAATTCAATCTCTTTCTGAAATCATGCAACATATGATTTTTTAAATATGCGAGGGAAGTTTTGAAATGATGATGTACATGTGATAGACTTTAAAACTGAACAAAATGTTTGGTATTCATAATTAGAAGATCGTGGGATATATGAGGAAGATCAGGATAAAGATCAATCTTTCCAAAGTACTACAATTAAAATGTTTTTTTTCAATAAAGGTGTCTGATAATATGTATTATGAAGAATGAGGTCTGAAGCAAAATGTGACCTTGGCTCTGGAAGGCAACTGCAACAATGAACTGTTTCTATCACGAAACTTAAAAGAACTGATATGAGTGGAAGGTTTTTGTTGAAACTTTACAATCCAAATCGGATATCATATGAGAAGCTTTTTCCTTTGATTTCTCCTACCGTTATCCATTTCATTTTCTTTCTGTTTCTCACGACCTGATCTGTATCTGTTAGCCTAAAACCCATTCGAAGATGAAATGGAGATGATGAAGATGAAGCTATACGGAAATGCTGGATAGGATGATTTGAAAAGTATCCTGTCTTTGACATTACCTAAAATGGGCGGTGATTGTCAAAATCTTCGGTAAAGATATGGAAGAACCTGAAACCAGCTGTAACCCAAAATGTATATAAGACGAGATGGCCAAGAAGAGGCCATGCCTAAGGCGAGTAGCAAAATAATTCAACCCTTCATGATTTCTCTCTATTGATTTTGTGACTTATTCCAATATTTCTTTTGAGATGAACTGGCTCCGGAGTGCTGCTGTGTTCCTTTTGGTGATCGTTGTCTTAGAGGCTTGCCACAGCCACGTCGTCGTTGGACGCAGTAAAAAACTTGTGCCCTGTAAAAGCAAGAAGAGAGAAGGTCGGTTTAATTCAATATCAGGACATAGCTCAACTATTTATATACAGGAAAGAAATGCTACTACTACTCTAAAGGAGAATACACACACAATCATGAGCACACTCATGGATCTCATGGTTCTCACGAACATGGGCATCCTGGTGGATCTTCCCAATCTTCTGATATTGTCAGCACTGAAGAAGATATTTCTCTAGAGTGCCCTAAGTCCGGATGTGGATCAGGATCAGGATCAGGAGGTTCAGGTGGATCTGGAGGATCTGATGGAGGGTCAGGATCGAGTTCAAGCTCTAGCTCGAGTAGTAGCTCTGACTCTGGCTCGAGTAGTGATTCAGACTCTAGTTCGAGTAGTGAATCAAGCTCTAGCTCGAGCAGCAGCTCCGACTCGAGCTCTAGCTCAAGCTCTGGTTCAAGCTCTGATTCAAGTTCTCATTCCAGTTCGATTGACGTAGACGAGGAAGGATATGTCATATGCGAGGAAGACGAAGTCATTGAAGATATTATTGGTGGAGATAAAGCTCATGTGAAAGTCATGATTTTCAATATATATAGGAACCTGTAGCGCTGGATGCGGAGCATACGAACTTCAAGCAACTTTATGCCCCGTCGGATCAGACTGCGATGGAGAAGATGGACTCCTCTCTAAAGTAGTAACCGAAGAGGTTGATGGATGCTTAACTCTCGCTTGCGAAGATTCAGACTATAGCGTAAGTTCATTATTCTAGTAGCATCTTCATTTTTTGTACATACTTCTGAACCAGTAGAACTGTAATTCTATTTAAGCTTGGAGTTCTTGGAATCAACGGAGAAATTTCCTTGGATGCTGTAAGCCTCACTTGTCACAAGGAAATCTGGTACAGAAAAGTTGATACTATCACGGCTATTCAATTTGGAGAAGAAGTTAAGCTCGTCTGCTACAAGCTATAACTTTGCCAGTTAGTTCACGCAAACTTTCTGACGTGCGATCAGTAATGATCTGTTGTTTGTACATAATGATGAAAAAACTAAATTATTCAAAATAGATTCTCAAACAATATCTGTAAATCACACTCACATCTGAAAATAAACGTTTTTTAAAATGCTTGGTTTTCAACAACGTATAGACCGTATGGGAGCTCAGAACAAATTCGTTCAAATGGAATAAACTATCTAACATAATAGCGAAAGCTTGAATGTTTGATGTTAACAGTCTTCTTAAAGTGTCTGAGTGATATGTTATTTACATACTCCTAACTGCTGCTTGATCAAGGTAATCCTCGTACAAACTAATTGAGAACTGACAATATCAACCTACGAGATGGTTATTATGCAAGTTGACAACGCAACCGATCAGGACCATGTTCTTAGATCAAAGGAACATCTGACAGACACGATACTCAAGCACTACAATGGTTTATCAAAATTTATCTATCGAAATGATTCACTCTATGCGTGTTTCGAAACTCGAGTTCTATGATGCAAGGACTGAAGAAGTGCAATTGACACAGTGACTCACAAGAGTAGTTCTAGAAAAAGTTTTATTTTCATCGATTAACAATAAAGAAATATAATGTTTATATAGAAGCTTGTTTTAGAACAAACTTCAAAGTTTTCAAAAAATTCGAAGAGCACACTCTGATAAATCTTTTTGTTTATGATAACAAACCATTAAATAAGTGTTATTCAATCTATAACTTTCAAATATTCTTTTTTTATATCATCTCCAGCAATGAGGGAACATGCTCTATTGCAATTTAAACGCCCCATCTGCCGCCATTAACTCTCTATAGGGCTGTTGTCGGCGGCTGCAAGGGACGCAGACCTTTTGCTCTGATCAATAACTGCCCTCTATATATCTTCACTTGCGCTTTTTTCGTCGTTCTTCTCTTCTTCTCTTCTCCCCCTCTAAATTGTCATAGCCTCTCTCTGAAGGCTATCAAGTCTATTCTCTTTCTTCTTTTCCCTCTTCCTTTTCTTGTTCTTTAAGAAGTAACTGCTGTCTACATCTGAGAATGTATGTCTGTCTACTGAATTGCTGTCATCGATATGCTTCATGCTTCAACTACTTGCTGAATGTTCTGCTTCTCGAAAAAGTCGTACCTCTTTTGTCATCATGAATTACTGCATAATTCGACAGCTACATGTCCTTTTCCATTTATTAAAAGCTGAGAAAACAGTCAACCAAGGACCGGTCTCATTGTCGCTTGCCATTGACAGGCCGTATTTGTGATTGAAGTGTACAGTTACCATATTGAGAAGATTAACGAATGCTCCAACGAAGTTTACTTCTTCTGTGTGTGAAGTGATGATCGGCTTTTTTCTTATCACAGTCCAGGCCTACTATGTTTTAAATTTTAGATTGTTTCATTTTCATTCAACCTGTGTTCATTTTCTAGCTGCTGTTGATCGTCTTAAACAGAAAAAAAACAAATTTATGAATAAATAACAAGCTGTCTTTTGCTCGTTCTCTATTATGTTCGGCTAACTCTGCGCGTACACCATATATGGATCTGTTCCTTTGTCCGCTCGTTCTCTTTCGTAATGTCATAGACGTTTTAGGGTGCGACAGGACAGCAATAGGAAAATCAAACCACAAGCGTTTTAGTATGGTTTTTAGAATAAAACACTCATCACAACTTCAATCAACCTCTGATGTTATCTATTCACCATACATCATTCAACATCTTTTTCAGATTTTATTTTCTACAGTTTTTCTCTGTTTTTCGATTATGTGCATGTGAATGATGACTAGCTTAACAAAAGTTTTCGTATAGTTCACAGAGAACTATAAGACATCCTTAGTTACTCATTGGTAAATATATAAACTTGCGACAAAGTTTATATTTTGATGATGATTGAGAAAAGTCCTATTAATTCTGTTATTCACTCCACCTGTTCTTTACGGAATGTCATGTGTCCATTATGAAGATGCATGGTATATTCTGTGAAGTTGTTCCAGGTACTCTAGATTGTTGTCTATTGGTTTATTTGCTCCCCATCTTCTTCCATCACCTGTCATCATATGGTCATCATCAAAAACCTAGATCACTACCACCTTCATCTTTTATAACCTCATCAACGCTGTTCTTCACACTCCCTCGTTCACATGTGGCAGATTCTTTGATTATCGATTTTTACATGTTGCTTGAGCATGTGAGCTCCTCAAAAATCGGAAGTTCGCGCCCAGTTTACATCAGAGTCAAGTGATTATCACCAGAAATTATTTATCTAACTTTTCCCTTTTTTTGTCCGATTTTATCACATTTTCTTACACATGGCAATCTATTTAGTATTGATTCGCATTTGCTTTGGACTTGTTTCGTAACACACCCAAGCTATACAGCCCTACCACTTCCGTCGCTGTTTGAACCTTTCTTCTCCTCTTTTGTTCTTTTTTCCCTTATTTTCTTTAATATGATATTTCTTTATTGATTTTACGTTTTTATTTTCTATCGTGCTCGAGTAGTCTTACCTACGTATTACAGATGGCCCGCCGTCCCTACGATCTTCTTTTTAAGCTTTTGCTTATTGGAGACTCAGGAGTGGGAAAAACATGTATTTTATACAGATTTAGTGACGATGCCTTCAATACAACTTTCATTTCAACGATTGGTAGCTTGATCAAGTCTTTAGCAATTACTTCTCAAATTAAGGCATTGACTTCAAAATCAAAACCATCGAGTTGCGAGGGAAGAAGATAAAACTCCAAATTTGGTAAGTGTTCCCACTTTTCTCATTTTTTTGATCGCATCTGCTCTCTTGCTCTTTTACTTCTCTCTTGTTTGTTCAGATGTTTTGAATGAGAAAACAACCAAAACAAAGATATATCGACATACAGTCCAAATTTTGGATTATGTTTTTCATATTAAGAACAGTTAACGCTGTACCATATGCATTTTTAAGGGATACGGCTGGTCAAGAAAGGTTCCATACAATCACTACCTCATACTACAGAGGAGCTATGGGAATCATGCTTGTCTATGATATTACTAATATTAAGAGTTTTGACAATATAGCAAAATGGCTAAGGAATATTGATGAGGTTTGCTGATAGCTTCATTCCGATATTAACTTTAGTTCTCAGCACGCCTCTGAAGATGTAGTTAAGATGTTACTTGGAAATAAATGCGATATGACGGAAAGAAGAGTTGTAACCAAGGAGAGAGGTGAACAAATCGCTAGTGATCATAACATTAGGTGACTTTCACAATCACCAATAGAGTTTATTATCTATGCAGGTTTTTGGAAACATCAGCGAAAGCAAACATTCACATAGATACTGCTTTCTATGAATTAGCTGAGGCCATTCTGGATAAGGTTCTACCAATGTCTTGAAGTTATGTAACTGCTTTTGCTTTCAGACTCCAAACCAGCCGGAGGAACCGCGCGTTACCGTCAATCCTCTAGATGGTGGAAGAAGTACCGGCGGTGGATGTTGCTGAACACTATCCTCAAGCTGTTATGAATCGTTTTCGGGTTCTATATAGTTGTATATATTATGCTTTCCTTCCGCACTGCATGTTTTACGCATAAACTGTTCAAAACCATGCCTATAAGTTTACATCTGTTCGAAATGTTATCAGCCACATTCTCTAGGGTTTCTTAGCGAAACCATAAGTTTGTATGAGGTTTTTTGTGTTCAAGACAACTCAACTCGATTTTGGATTATGAGTTATATATCAACATTTGATAGTATGTTCAGTTTTTATAATTTTCTAGAAACTAGGAACTGAGAACAGATTAGTTGAGGAATTTTTAGGTACCGAAGCTACAGCGATGAGGGAAGGAGACGAGATCTTCTAGCAAACTTCCTACAATGTCATGTCGTCTCCGTGATTTTTGTCCGAATCACAGTTGTTTTTGAACTTCGCTTATAACAGTGATAGTGCCAGAACAACAGGATGCAAGCTAATAAGTGAGATTATTATTATTTACTCTCTTCAAGCCTTTGAATAAAAAACTTCTCGCCTGAAATTGGCTGGCAGTTCCTTAAGTGGATATCTAGATGCGTAAGTTAATAGCTAGTCTAGGTATCTCTGAAGACCTGAAGGAACAGACGGATGTCCAACCTGTTCTTTTAAAAACCAAAGTGGGATTAGGTCGTCTTTGGCTGTGCCTCGAAAATCTCAATGATGTCGCTGAGTTATCTATATATACTCGTGTGGTTATATAGTTTATGCAAAACGCGATAGTTTTCACTATTTCTCAAACTGGTGACGTAACTGTTACTTCAATTTTAACTGAATTCAACACGTATTCTCAATCTGCTTTAAGTTTTTGTTTCGCTAGCAAAGGCAGAGATACCGAACGTTCAGTCTGAAGTTCTTATTTTCCTTTAGTCATTTATTCACGTAAACTTGAAGTGTCATCTCATTCGTGGAACATGAATATCACTTATCCTAAGCTATTACTTTGAAACTATATCTGTTAGTTGTTTTTTAACGTTTAACAGACCTAGAAAATCAGTTTCCTAGTGTCTTTTCAAAAATTCCAACATGTGTTCCAGTCTATTTGACCTCATCTTTTTCTGTTCTTTATAGCGCAAAAATTTTTCGGTAAGCCCTGGAAACTGCCCTCAGAGGGTAATGAAGGTCCAGGACTAGTTGACAGGTTGGCGGCCAACCCTACCTTTATTGACCGTCGATCGGTCAGTAAAACCTGTGAATATAGGAATATATAAAGCGTTTCTTCTACATCTATTCAATCTTGCTTCCCGTTATATGCTTGTGTCGTCCAAGCTTTTAGCGTACAGACCCTTCGAAACTTAGTAAGACTGTCTCACTTTTGAATACACCTGTCTTTCAAGCAACTAAACCAATTAAAAATAATTGTCTCTTTTCTTTTGAGCTTCTAATGACTTCAGTCAATGCTTAAATGCTCTCAATCTATTAGAAGGCTTTTCTTCTCCAAAGCCACTTACCGTTGGAATGAATGTTTCGTAATACCATTTCAGCATTTCGGATGCTGTATCTTTTCACTCTTGCTTTGTTATTCCGTGTTTCTACTGCGGAATGTCCCTTCAACTCTGAGTTTTGCCATTGGCAAATACAACAGCCATGGCGAGTTGTCACTGAAGCCCTTTTACCTTCTCCACTGAATCTCCCACCCACATCTCTCAAATCAGGTAATCGTTAAACTATCTCTCAAACGATTTTGTTGTTCAAGACGGCGAGTTTCTATTGGCCCAGGGATATTATGGCATCAATAGTTCAGGAACTGTTGTGAGTCCCTTGCTAGAAGGATTCGTTGGGAATAGGGTCCTCACATTTAGTTATTCAAAAACGGGAGGAGCAGCAGTTTTACAAGTATCAAACCATTTTTGACGTAAGTAAGACATTTCAATAGGTACAAATAAAGGAAGGGCTTGAGTTTCGAACACTCCAGACCATTGATACACCTTCCTTACAAACGTGGTCTAAGAGTTCAACGATAGTTCCTGATACCCCTCAAATTCATCAAGTAACTTAATAATCACCGTAACATCAAAAATCTTATTCGTTTCACAGATTGTTTTCCGAATTACCTCTGTTACGGATGGTTTTGATGCGCTGGCGATTGATGACGTTCGTTTAGCTTCAGTGAATGGAAAAGTTATAAGTCCGGAAAGCACGTATGCTATCTTATAAATTTTTTAGACATAGTTTATATCTTCCAGCTCTAACATCAACATACTCTCCGGAGACTCTTTCGCCGATCGCGATATAAGGAGATCTCCTTCAGGTTCCTTGCATGACAATCTAATTGAAAATACCAATGAGTACCATTTAGATAAAAGCCATCAAAGTATTTGTAGAGCGATAAAATGCCAATTTCAAGGGAATTCTTGCTATTGGTACCTTCCTCTGATTCTAATATCTAAACTCACATGGCTTTCTAGGAATTCTATTGGTTTCAAATCTTTAGAGGACAAAGTCATCTCTGAGAATGCTGAAGGAGTGTTAACAAGTGAACCTGTTCTACTACCCATCAACTCACATCTTCAAATAAGTATTTTTTCGAGGTATGGCTGGTACTGATTACAACTTTAAACGTTCTCCAGTGATTCTTCTCTATTATCCATTTATCAAAAAATTGGTTCTGAAGAAGTTCTATTATGGTCTCAAGGTGGTGTTCCTTTACCCGGATGGAACAGTTTCAGAATACCAATCAAGTATCATAATCAGAATAATTCGAGATAACGGTATTATGATCTAGATATGTCTCTTTACCTTCGCATTTTGTAATTCGGTCAACATCTTCATCTGGAAATTTTTTAGCCATATCTCAAACAAATTTGGTTGACGAAAAAGGACGAGATCTTGCATGTGGTATACCACAGTTCACTATTACATTTTAGAAGTCATTATTGATTTTTTAGGACTTAATACACCTGCTATCAAACCACATCGGGATGGTACTGTACGTCTCACAGCCCTTCAGCAAATTCACGATGATAGCCCAGTGGTGTTTACTTGTCCAAAATTACCTCATTGATTAAATTGTTTTCAGAACTCGAAAATTGGCCCTCCTCCTCCCATGTTCCTTAATTCTTTGAAACAGAAAGCCACTTCACTACCAGTGATGAACTTACCGAACACACCTGAGCCAAGCCCTATTCCAATTTTTCGGACGAGTGAAATTGCTCGATCTAATTTTGCTGTAGCTCCCATTGCTCCTGCGATAGTGACTATACAATGCGTCGTTCTTTTTTTAAATTGATTTTCCAGATCAGTTCTTCTGCTCATGAGCCGATACGTTTCAATTCATCGGTTATAAAAGCTTCGCCAACAATTACAGAGAAGCTTTCGAGTTTTGGAACACCAACAGAGAAACCATTAATTGCTCAAACAACGAGTTCTTTGAGTGGTATTCTTTCCGCCGCTGCTGGTCGCCCAATCAGTTCTGAAGAAGTTTCAGTGCTGAAAGATTTAGCGAAGGTACATCACATGGCAGATGATCTTGTAAAAAATGTATTTTTCATTCATTTCAGCGTTTCGGAATAACGGAACTATCTCCATCTCAATTGACCCGTCTTATTATGACTGGTAAAAAGTTCAATAGTTTTTCCGGAATCTTATCAGACGTTTCTCTCACGACCCCAACACCGGAAGGGGCTGGCTTGCCTATTTCAGCAGTTACTAACAATTTAAGTGTAAGCGTATATCTTACTTATGAGATTATATTGATTTCTATTTCAGAGCTTAATATCATCTATGCCGAAAGAACATCTTCAGATGCTCAATCACTTACCGCCTAATTTACATGATGCGATCACTTCAAAGCTGGGCAAATTTATAGAGTAAGCTCAATCCGTATACCTTATCAAAATTTCTGTATAGAAATACACCCAAGAACGAGAACCGACATTTTGCCCGTAATGTGGATTATGCCGTTCAACGTGCTTTCAATGATTACATTGTTAATTCCAGGCCGTAATGCGTTCAACAGACTAGATAATAAATTAACTATTACTAACATTATTCACTTAGAAAGCTAGAAAAGAATTGATCGCGGAATAGCATACGTTTTGAATGTTGAATTCTACAATACAGCTGTAGATGTTTAGGACCCATGCTTCGGGTAACGCATAAGCGATTAGTAAAAAAAACAAGAAGAATTATTCGAACATTATTGAAACTTTCGGAGCTATAGCTATCTTGCATTTAGTATACAACCACACTCCCGTTGGATATCCTCTTTTTCGTTCGATCTGACAAGTCAAGTAAAGCCTGGCCTGGTTAGTGCGGAGATTGCTTGGGAAACCAAGATGTCAATTCTTTTAATGAAGTTTTTTCATTCCTTGAAACCAAATACGTGCTCATTCTCATGAAAACTACTCGTGTATTTTTACAATCAATATTCTATAGGTGATCAGTTCTGTAGTTTTCTATTGGATGGATTGAGGAGTTGTAGTTTGACTTTTGGGTGTGTTTGTCAATCTCGTTCATTCTTCGGACTCCTTTTTCCATTAGTAGTTCAATCGATCCATTCACA